TATATATATATATATATATATATATATATATATATTCTCACCAAGAACAGGTAGCGCTCCTGGTGGTCACCGCTGCGTGCTGATATCTTGACGAGGCGTCCTTCCTTGATGAACTCTCTGCTGGGGCTGACCAGGTCTACAGCGCCACCTAGCAGGTCTCTGATCTCAAGCAGCTTCTTGAACTTGTGCTGCAAAGAAAAGTAATAAGTGAGCATCTAAGGTGAAATACTTGACTACCCTGTGTTGCCACGTATAGGTGAGATATGACAGGATAACATTTCTGGTGAGTGATGCTGATGACATGGCGTGATGTTGCCTGGCAACCGTTGGAAGACATGATAAACTCCAATTCTCAAGTTTAGCAGGTAGCAGTTATTGTAGTGATATTTCAATTAGGAACCCACTAGTATAGCTATGTACATTAGGTTTGGTGGCTTTCATCTAATTTCTCTTAGGTTTATAAGCAGCACGTGGTGCCAACGAATGTGTCCACCAACCACTTTATCTCTTTACGCTATACGTAATACATTAGTAGTATAGTAAAGCTAGGAATTAAATTACTATTATTATATTATTAAAAAATTAATTTAATGAAATAAAAATAATAAATATTTAAAAAAAAATTATTATTATTATTTATTATTATTATTTAATTAATTTAATTTATTATTATTTAATTATTTTTATTATTTTAGGATTAGGAAGCTAGTATTGAATAATATCAGGAGTAGATAATAGGGATAGATCCCTAATATCATAGATAATAGATAGATAAGGATAGATAAGGATAGATAAGGATAGATAAGGATAGATAAGGATAGATAATAGATAGATAATAGATCCCTATTATCTACTCCTGATAATATCGATGTTGTTATGATGCTTGAGGTAAGGTTAGGTAACTCACGATCTTCCTCATGGCATTGTTGATGTGATGTGCTGCTGCTGATACACAGGTCAGTGCCTCTGTAACAAAACAACATCAAGGCACGTTAATAATGAACATGCCTTTCTTGTTTTATCTGCAAAGGTTCGTTTTATCGCGTTAGACTTTAACTTTAGGCGCTATTTCGCGGAATTAATTTGCCACGTAAAACATTTTTCGCAGCCATATAACAATGAATTATGTAACAAACATCCGAAGGGGCAGCAATTGTATTGTCGGACAGATAAACTAAAAAAACATCGAACTGACGTTCTGAACATTCGTTATAAGACCGAACTTTGATGCTAACGAATCTTTATGTATTCAACGACAATGACGGGATCCAAGAGGATCAACTCAGACATGCTGACGCAGTATACATGGACATCTTTAACACTCTGGGAAGCGATATAATTCGATTTCTGAATCGGAGTAATAAAATATACGCCGTTAAGTCTATGATCTCCATCGCAGCCAAACTCAATACCAACGACGTTTGTTTAATTAAAGCCTAGAGCTCGGGGAGGTTAGATATGTGTTTGTCTGCAGGATGGGGGGAGGGTGAACGCAAGGTGGTAGTGTGGGCACGTTGTTATTTTGTCTATTATAACTCACTTTCTGCATCTGCTCTATCCGCCGAGTCACCTGGCAGCCTTTTCAGATACTCTGAAACGTAAACAACATAAAACCACATCGTCGTAATGAATTTCATCGAAAATATACATAATCACCCCCCCCCCCGCATCCAATTTCACATTTCACCGGTCAGTGAGCATGGATATAACCGACACTCGTTAGCGAATGTTCAACTATATGACCGTATATTCATCCCTGACACATTATCGGTCACTTCAAAGACCGCACACACTTGGTTTTATTGTCACCCTACTGGTATTTGGTCACACCTACATCCATTGTTCTCATACGTACGTCAACTAGGCCACCGCGGATCCGTGGCACACTTTTAATATGGTTTCACGTAAATCCAATTTTAATAGCTGTTCGCATCTCACGTCGTGGAGTGACAGTAATGCCACACACAACGTAATCACAATTTCAAATTAGATTTAATTAGATTTCCTGCGCTATAAATAATGAATGGTGAGAGGCGACGAGATTAAAACACGAATGCAGTCGATGTTGCTCGATCGTTACAATTACTTGCAAATATAATCATATTATTAGCGGCATACCCCCCCCCACCCCCCGAGATGTCAAATATATGCGTTCGAATATAGGACTGACTGTTATAGCCATTCTCCCCCTCAAACTCCGTTTCTTTACTTATGCATCATATCCTCTACCATTATCAGCACTCTTTTATGTTTGTGTGTGTATAATTATATAGCTACCTTTCAGTAGCAGCTCATATCTGGGCACGCGTTGCACTGGCACCAGCATGTGGTTCAGTATCAACATGTTATCACATTCAGGAAGTTTCTGTAAAGATGTAAACGTCATCGAGGTACATAATTAACGTAATAAATCACTTCAACCCCACTGAGAGTTCATTCTGAGAGTTTCATTTTAATTATTTCTAATGAAACGTTCATCAAAATCACTTCTCATGATACAGCAGAGCGAGCCTCTACTGTAGACATGGAGGAAATAGTGGAATGTTCTGCTTGGGTTGGGTCTATGAGATCTATTTCCATTCTAGAGATTGGTGAATCATAGCCATATATCGGAGCAAATTGTTTTATTCACTTTCAATATAACCTATATATTTTCATTATAGACATGACTGGACCAAAACGTATGGACTGTCGCTATGGAGAGAGAGCATATATCTATGCTATAGACGTAGTTATACATAGGAAACGTGGACAGAACGCGTGAGGTGCACACTGCAGTGACAGTGGCGCCATCTATGAGAGCCTCACCGACAGTTCGTCGACGATGGCTCGGAACCTGTTGGACTTGACGAGCCATATGTTGATGAGTTTCTGCGCCATCTCGTAGTTGTTCACGTACTCTGTGTACATCTTCAGGAAGGGCGCGAACCGTAGCATGATGTCACCTATCCGCTTCACTTTCTCCCTAGATGAAGACCGAGTGAATTACCTAACCTTAATCCTAACGTTAACCTTAACCTTATCCTAACCTTAGATGAAGACAATGAATGGTTAAGTAATGGTAAGGGTAAATGAAAAACTGCGTGGGCAGAGCGCAGGAGGGTTAAATCTTAAACAGAAAACACGGGCCAGGGGAGGGATTGAGGTCACCTTGAGGTAGTGCACGTGTCTCTTGAAATGCATCGTATACCTTAAATGCATCTATATATTTACCGTTAATACAGCAAAGAGGTGTGCAGGCATTTTTAACGAGAGCATATCTGGTGGGCCAGTCAAGTAGATATGGCTCACGAATTAGAAGGAAATATACCGTCAACACCGTCCTGTTCTGCATTAGTTTGTGATTGCCGCACATGCTCCTTGCCGCATTCACTCACCATTCCTGCATCCTCTGCTCCAGCTGGGGCAACACGAAGTCGTGATGAAGCTGGTACACGCTCTTCATGTTGGAAAACATGCGCTTCGTGACGTCATCGGGGAACATGTTGTGACGTTCGTTCGCAGCGTCGAGGCGTGCATGTAGAACCTGCCATTACACAGCTGCTGTTATATATATCGTAATGCTCACTACACGCACGCACGCACGCACGCACGCACGAACGCACGCACACACACACACACACACACGTAACATGACACACACGCGCGCGCGCAGTATAAACACTATCAACTGTTAACTATATGATATATGTATATATATAAATATATATATATATATATATATCTTATAAGGCGCTATAATAATGCGTGATACCTGATCAATGAGATTGAGTTTATCAACGTAGGTGCGCTCTGTCGTTAGGATTTCCAGTGCAATCCTGTAGAGATGATACTTCTTCTTCTCGTCATCGGCAGTTCCCTCTAGGATTATCTACATTGATGAGAAACATATGTTCAGCATTACTGGCTAGACAGACCAAGTATGCATCTATATATGTATCAAGAGTACATGATAGAGATGTACTCTCTATTATGTACTCTTGATATATATGCATAATATCAAGAGCTAATAAATATATAATAATATATATTATAAAATTATAAATAATAATATATATAATATTTATTAGCTGTTGATAATATATCATATACATTTAGTGTATGATCGAAGGTGACTGTGGCGTACAGTGGTAGAAGAGTTGTGATTTAGGATATTGTTTGTATGGGTAAGGAGAACAGAATGGCAGAGGGGACAGGTGGGTAAGTGAGAGAGCTAGAGTAGTAGTCATGCCCATGCAGAGTGTGAGAAATACACTTACTCGCTTCTGTAAGCAGCAGCGGGAAGAAGAAAAAGAAACAGGTGTACTGCATGGTGAACGACATTAGTAAAATAGGTTCCCGTTTTATACGTGCAATTATGCATCAACATACCTAATACATAATCATTGGTGATCGGCTAACAGGTAAGAATACACCTAATATATATATATATATATATACCTGAAACAGGCGCGTAATAACGATCTGTGTGTGCGTATGTGTAAAACGCATGCGTATCGTGTGACGTAACATTCAAACCGCGTCATATATCCTCACACATTACAGCTCAGTCAACGCAAACGCTCATCCGCCAAGATCAACACAAAACACGAGAGATATACTATCGCGGTTGCGTGTCCATATACTGATAAACACCGCACCGAGGGAAAGTCGATAGGTAGTGTTTGCAGCAAGTGTGTGCCAGGTCAGTATAGTTGTTTCCTATATCTATAAAAACCCGCGAGAGCGAGCATCTCTCCCTAAGATGTATTTCTCACGTGCAGTAGCAGCCGTAGACACAATATCACGGGCTACTGGATGTTTTTACTAGGGCATCATGTCCGTCAGCAGCGGAGGTTGGATGCTGCTGCGGATGCAGGAGGCTGCGCGAAGCATCGCCAGAAAAACCGCTGCCACATGTGAACGTAAAGTGACACACGTGTTTAACTCTGTGTGTGTGTGCACACACACACACACACACACATTGTGTGTGTGTGTGTGTGTGTGTGTGTGTGTGTGTGTGTGTGTGTGTGTGTGTGTGTGTGTGTGTGTGTGTGTGTGTGTGTGCGAGCGCGTATGTGCGTGTAAGAACCTGCGTGCGTATAGTACGCCTGCCTGTATGTTTGTGTGAGCAGACCTGATAGATGCCTGCTAACATAGCCGGTGCTGCGTACGTCAAGCGGCGCTGCTATATGGCAGGCCTACGCCAGCTTTCCCATTTTACGTCCTGCACCAAGAATACATTGAGACACGGCCGAGCGAAACAGACACGCAATTAAGACGGTTAGTGATTAAATTAAATGCTGCCTATAGAAAGCCAAATGGTATTCTATTCTGAGCGCTTCTCACAGAATGCGGCTCGATATCATACCCGAGTTGCAGGGCAGCGCATTCATGATGCACGGGCTCATTCGGGAAGACGGGGAATGTATGTAGGGCCTTATTATTAGGAATGATTATACTATAGGAAGAGGGATGAGAGATTCCATACTCATGCGGGATGCAATGTAAGTGACGCAAGGAACCGTCTGGGGAAGAGGGGAAAGAGAGCCAATAACTCATTCGTGAAGAGAGATAAACGGATGCAGGAGCGCAGTCAAGGAATATAGGCAAATGCCACAGGAGCTGATTTTAGATCAGTGAAAAGAAGAGAATGTGCTAATTCAAAATGAAGGGAACGAAATGCGGGTGTGGAATCACATTAAAGGCATCATTAGCTCTCAAAAAGCACATTTTTAATCAAATAAAATTTAAGATAACTATATCATGTACACTCGTAGATAATGTGTGAATTTGAACTAGTTCGTGATATCGCACGAGGGTGGAGAGAAGTCCATACATGTTTAACCTATAGGCTAACTAGCTAGCTATGCAGATCGACAGCGAGAAATCTACTTCCGGCCATCAGCGCCGGAGATGTTCAGCGAAATCGAAGCTAACTAAACGGAAATCGACATCAGTCTAGATCGGCGTCACGTCGTTCCTATACGGCGATCTGTAGAACCAGTCTGCGACCACTACGAGCTGTTTACGAGTTCGTTCTCGACTATAGATATTCCGATACTCGCTATGGCGTATAGAGGTCACCGTGTTCGCACACGCGCGAGTGCACGCACGCACGCACACATACACGCACGTGCACACCCACACAGCCATATGAGCATTCACACATGCTACATCACTATACGTGTGACGTGTTACGTTCAATGAGCGACGTCACGATGCACGATGAGAAATGTCTGCATTTTGTCAATCTCGCTGTAGTGCTATATAGAAGACAATCGATGCGGCGCTGGGGACAGCGTGTAGGATGATCTCTGATTGCCAACCTGCCGTCTGTTGCTTTCGCGGATGATGCGATTTATAGAACCTAATGGGAAATTGCCTGTTAAAGGCATAAATTAACGTCGAGCGAACTGTTCCACGATTGATTGCCTTTCCCAATTGCACGCGGTGAGCTGAAAATTTATTTGTCTGCGAAACAAAAGCTAACAATATATAGAGGCGGCGGGAATGAGCAAGGCCATGAGCCAATATATTTTCCCTCGCATGGGGAGTCATAACGCGGCGCCGTTTTTCGGGTTATAATCTTTTACTCTGGCTGAACGTATAATTAATCACCAATACGCTCCACTGTTGTCGGTGTGTTATCAATAGCTACATGACAGCTGGGAATATGAAGAGAAACCTATCCAACTTGGCCGATCCTCCCATAAACAATAATCACAGTGTAGCATCAATCTCTGCCTCCCCGCATCCCTGCATGCAGCATCCTCTGCTTCCTCCGCATCCCTGCATGCAGCATCCTCTGCTTCCTCAGCATCCCTGCATGCAGCATCCTCTGCTTCCTCAGCATCCCTGCATGCAGCATCCTCTGCTTC